AGAGTCAGTGAGATAGAATAAGAACAATGGCGGCTTCATTTAATGACTCATATGAACTCTAATGCTGTGGATACAGGAAGCAATAACTCAGGATCATGTCATGCAAAAGGAAAAAAAAAAGCCCTGATACAAATAATTGCTTGAGTTGCAAAAATGCAAACTCCTGCTGAAGTCGCAGCTCACTCACCGGGGCAGAATGTTAAAGAAGCTCTTTAGGGGGGGTTTATCTTGGCCTTGTATTCTCTTAATGCTGTTTTATTACTGAAACAGCAGTAAATTCACTCCCAGGACTTTTCAAATAAAACAAGTTTGCTGGCCAGCTTGGCCTTGTGTAGAATATACATGAGACAGTCATGTGACATCACTGCTCACTGACTTTTTAAAAAGTGAGTTTAAAAATTCTTTGCAGAAAATGAGAATTTTACCCTTCAAATGTGGCACAAACTACCACAACAGATTTATCTCCTTCTGATTATGTGTTAATAAATTCACTGCTCAGATTCTCTGCGTGCTCCACGTAGATGTGGTTGGAGTCGCAGGCCGAGTGTGTAACCATCTTGGAAATCTTGGAAAAACCTTGTCGCTGTGTTGTTGGGACCTCCCTCGCGCTGCCTCCCCTCTTCACTCTCCTCTCTCCCTCTTTGCACTAATAGTTCTTTTGTGTACAAGAGCATGTTAAGAGGCCAATGAGCCTGGCCTTAATAGGCCACGTTGCCATAGAAACCGCAGCACTCTGGATGTCTGACCTTTGACCCAGTTTTTTTTGCTGGCTGTGAATAAGAGCGCAGGACGACCAACCGGGTCACAATAGAGGCCCGGCGAACTGAGGGAGTGCCCCTGTCATAGTCACTTAACTTCATTCCTCTATGGGCTAATGGACACTTCAAATGTGGTAGCCATTAGCTGTGTGCTATCTCCACTGCAGGACCACAGGCTTCTCAGGGTTAATAAATGTAAAGAGACTCGGCTGTGTGTTAAATTCAAGTGATGACAGGAAAAATGGACAAATACAGTACTTATAGATTTTTTATGGGCAGCATCTAAAATTGAAGAACATCCCCACTACTAAAATGGGTAGAAATCCAGGTAGTCTGTTTGGATGACTAATATCTCCACCAATTACACCCACAACAAAATATACGTAATGGTTTTTCTCTCTGTACCTTCCTTGAAGATAACTTTAATTAATAACTTCCTCCCTGACTAATCCACTTACTTCATAGTGGACTGGATAATAGGACATGGTCCCCATTCAGAAAAATTTGCAGTGGCCCAGTAGTGCATTGTGGGTCTGACCAGCTGAGCTGCTTGTCGTTTCCCCATCAATTACACACTAATTAGCACAATGACTGCCGAGGTTTGCTTAAGAATTGTCAATGTAATTGCCTCTAATGTTGGTAAACAATGAGCCTTAATGCAAACTCCGAGACAAGGCGGGGGCTCCTTATCACATTGTCTTTGTCACCGCGGCTTTAATTGTGTTGCGCGCATAGATCAGGTTTAGGTGTCAATGGCCCCCACATGAGCAGGTGATATCAGCAGAGCAAACCAGGGAGGGACTGTTGTGTAGGGGGCCTGACAGGGCCATTGTCTGAAGTTGCTGTTCATATGGGCAGGGGACGGTAATTAACACCTCAGCCAAACAGCAAGCTGTGCGGCCCATTTGTTTTCTGTTGGGGGGTAAAAGAAAACAATGGGGAGGGGCTCTCCACACAGTAGGTGATTGACATTATCTGCTGGAGCGATCCGTGGAGGCATTCCTGCTGCTCCGCTATTCAACACAACTTAAGGGAAGCCATTTCACAAGCGTCTGAGCTGCGACTTTATACATATTCATTCTTTTATTTGTTGTTTGACTTTGTCTGATTGTCTGCTCGTGACTTACTGAGTTAATGCAATTCAGGGTAAGCTGCAGAAACAAATGGTCTGTTTTAGATAGTGTTAGTTTTAAGGCACATCTACTGTTTTCCAAAATCAAAATGTTTTAGTAATAATTATTCTGCACATTTTATAGAATTACAAACAAATTCTGCTTTTATATTATTTCTTGACTTTACTTTTTGACAGTCATTCTGACTTCTCACTGCAGCCCTGAAGTGGGCAGACAGTAGCTAGCAAAGTTTGGGATTTTTTTTTTCTGTCCCTTTGGCAGAGTGTCTGACTTAGTTTGACAGCAAATGTCCAGACATCTGTCTCTTCTTGGTGCTCTGATGTTGGCCTGCAGTATGGCACCACACACTTCAGAGATGACAAAGACTCTTGGCTGTGTTTTCCTTCGCTCTGTGAGAGCGATGTAACAATTAGAACCCAGCTCTGGCAGGCCACATGCCCCAGAGCATATGTTGCATTCTCTCTGTTCAAAAAACCAAAGGGCTCCAGTGTAGCTTTTTGGAAAATTTCAGTGGCATCACTGCCACCTTTGTCGCATCTGGGTCCTGTAAAAGTAGCACATTCTACTGATGTCTATTCTAAGCATTGGAGGCAGCAGGGAAGGCTGGAAGACAATTAGAGAGCTATGAAAATGGATCAACTAAACTTTACTTTAGTTACACATTTCTTTCAGTAGTCCGTCCGAGTCTGTTTACCAGAGCTTCCAGCACCCATGCTGAAACAGACATTGCTATGGGCCCCAGCCATATGTCTGTATTTGTCTCTAATAAAATAAGGGCATGTGTAAAGGATCACTAAATGTCCTGCACTTACAGTGATACTGATGCATCTCCTGTCTTTTACAAACATTTAATATCTTTTAAAACATGTCAGAACTATTTGAATCATCCATTTTAAGTGCTGGTTCTCATACAGCTGTCCTAACTTTTTTTTTCTTACACTTCCCTTGTGGGTTTTTTTTTCTCACTGTAACACTGAGAAAGTTTTTGCTGAGCAGCATGGCCCACAATTCCTCGCCTTTTGTTTCCGGAACACCCTCCCTCTCTCCCTCTCATGTGTTAGTGTGAGTGGTGTGCTGCTGTAGTCTGGACTGGAGCTAATGTGACAGTGTGCGGCTGGCATTTACCTGGCTGGATGTTTCGGGGAGTGTGTGAACAGTTGCTCCATAGGGCACGCTGGCAATTAAAAGAAAAGTAGGCGCTCAGGAAAAAAAAAGTGCCTGGGGGCATGTTCCTCAGTCCTGGCAGAAGCTGTCAAATAAGGGATGGATTGGGTGGGAGAGTCGGGGTGGGCACGGCCGGGCAAGACCAAACGCTCACAATAGCGCTCGTTTCATTTGTGGAAGGACTCATGATTGACATAGATTAGACAGAGAAAACTGCATTGTTTTGGATTTTCTCTCCGGAGAGCAGCATTCATTAGGCGCCATGCACACAGCAGAGTAAAGTTTCAATAGGGAGCTAGCAGCCTCTAAAAGCAACTGCCTCCTGACAGTTGTATGGACTTGGGCCCATTAGTTGGAACCTACGATTCAGCCTTGAGCAGTATAGTGAAAATGAAGAGGGCTGATGTCAACTCCAAGAATTTCCCCCCTTTTCGAAGGGAAAAAGGGTCCCCTTCCCCCTGCCTCGGTGCTCTGTTGGACCCCAGCTGTCAGGAAACAATACCCTCTGCCTGCTCCGACAAACTCATTCCTGAAAATGTTTTTTTTTCTCTCCCTCCTCTCCCTTTCCCCCTCCTGCTATAATGTCTTTTCCATTTTTAACCCACAGCCATCCAAGCTTCCTTCCTCCTTACAAACCCTGAGTGATGAATGAAGTTTTAAAAATCAGAACCTGAATGCATGACTCCTCCAGTTTGCTTGTTTGTCATCATTTATCCTGCAACAACTTTTGAAAAGTGGACAAAGCGTTGCATATATTCTTTAACTGCTGTCGTCAGTCATTTCTTAAACGTCAGATACTATTTCGTGTCTCTTCCATTCATCCGATGTTTGCTCTGGGCGGAGGAATTCTTATGCACAGTGCTATGTAAATACAAATGATAGTATGCATTGTAGAGTAATAACAGAGGATGCATGGTGAGATTGTATAATCACCACTTACAGACAGAATATATAACCCGTATACGCTCCCGTGCCCAAAAGGCAACTTCAGTAATGTTCTACGATACCTTTATGTCTCTGCACTACATGGGTCTGGATGAGCAAAACACAACCTATAATATAAAACCCTTTTAATTAATTTGAAATTGTACCAGAGAGAAAATCCACATGCATGACAAGCTGCTGTGTCCGGTATTTAAACTGATTCATAAACCAGATGGTTGAGCCGTGCTTTTGGAGCTCTGGCTTCATGCTATCTCCATCGCTGGAGGACAAAAAAAAAAAGCTTGTTGTATGAGGCTGTAAATCATAAAAACCTCTCCTCCAGTACACACAGCTCTTTCCGCATGGCACAGTGGCAAAGAGACGGGCAACACGGTGGTGGAAGTCTTAGTGACGTGGGGGGAAAAAAAAGAGCAAACACTTACACAACCCTCTCATGATAACTTTGGTACATGTGTGAAAAGTAGTGATACTGAAAGGAGGAGGGACTATGTCTGGGGTCAAAAGGCCAAACCAATGGAGTTAGCTCCGAGTTGGAGGCTCAACCATTCGCCGCTCTAGACGGGGCTTCCTTCCAGCTGTCTCTTCCCACCCGCTCAGCGATGGGCGCCCACAGCTGGCCTCTTGTTTTTCCTTGACAAACGGCAATTTCACAGTCCTCCACCAGTCTGCTGTGTTCACATCGCTCTCCCTGCTCTCCCTCATGCCAAAACTCACTGTCTGACTCCAGCAGCGATGTGGGTCTGGTACAGGTGTCTGCTGGAGATCTCTGCGGGCTTGACACCATTCATACCACTTTTGCACGCTTCAGTCCCCACGGTTCACTAAAAGTAAATATTAGAGTTGTTGTGTTTTTTTGCAAAACAGAGCTTTGGATTTAGCTTTGTGGTTTCTTTATCATGTCTATTTCTGAATGCATTTTGTTTTTATTACCGTGCATGTTTCTTCCCTGCAGTGCGTCTGCTTCTGTTTTGTAATTCTGCTTCCTTTGTGTCGCCCACAGTACCTGCAGATGAAATGGCCTCTTTTGGATGTCCCTGGATCTGCAGCACTAAAAGACTCCCGTTCTCCAACACCGGGGCATTTAGTAAGTACTTACACTCAATACAAAACAAAATTTCGATTATGAGGAGATGAAGAAGCCAGAAACATTTGAAAGACTGCAAGTAAACCAGATAAATTGTTTTTGACCAAAGAGCAATGTGACTGGTTGGAGGAAAAAAAGACAAATTTCACACACAAAATAACTGAATTGAACACCAGCAGTGTCCCAACACTATCCCTCCCTTATTTTGTGGCAGTAATAAGATGTTTCCTCCGGGTCTACATCCTACGGGACATTAAGTCAATTATCAAACAAATCATGTCAGCTTATTCGGGGAATCAGTTTACTGCGAATCATATAAATGCTTTAATCAAACTATCACCATAATGTGATTATTCACAATAATGAAGTTAGTGGGCATGTAAATTTTTACTGGTTCCCATCTATCCCATCTACAGTCACCCCCCGCACAACCCCGCCACAGCACCCGCCCGCAGGCCAACTGCTGTACAGTCTGTCTGCCTTTACCTCAATAACTCAGTCCCCGCCATAAATCTCTCAACCTCAAACCTGCTTGCCATTCTTGAACTTTCCCACACAGGTGTGAACTAGTCATCATGGTGTCACACTCTGGTTAGACAATGCGGGGCCTCAGCAGACCTGTTTGGTGTGTGGCTTCGCTGAGGGATGTGTGTTTGGGATTGAAAACATTAGATAACGCGAGCATCTATCTGGCACCTACTCGAACGTATCTGGGTGTTTTCTGCTCCGGGAAGTCAAGTTAAGCAGTGCATGGAGCAGAAAGCCACTGTCACTACACTTTGGTAAATGCAGCCGCTGTGACGCAGCCCCTTGACCTCACATATCCTGGCTAGACGACGTGCTTGCTGAGTTTGTGGTTGACTCGCTGGATCCCATAATCGCAGCGATGCACATGACAAAGTCCTCATTGAGGGCAAGTCAATGGGAAACTGTTGTGAAGGGGATGGAGTTTGCTCATGGGAATCCAGGACTGACTTAAGTCTCAATAGGAAGCAGTTATATATTTGATCAGAATAAACGCTGACCTGTCAGTGACCCTGTTGATTTTTCTGTTAGACACAGCAGCTATTGTGTGAAGTTTGTGTCACAGCAAACTGATTCTGATAACTTAAGACAGTTATGAAATCTGTGAATCCACAGTGCAGGGAGACGGAATTAGGAGAAAAAGTCAAAACAATGAGTACGATAATAGCAGTTGAATTTAAAGGAAATGAAAGCACATTGACTGAAGTTGACTTCCTTGCTTTGGTTGTTTCTGTTCTGTCCTTTGGTGGTTGCTGTTACTTTTCATGTGGCTCTGCTTTGGTGCTTTTCTTTTTTCTTTTTCTCTTTCTTTTTTTGTTTGGCCTTCATCTGTTTGAACGTCATTAAGCCATAAAAGTCAATACAAAAAGAAACTTTGTAGAGGGCTGAGAATGTGAGCGATCAAGCTGTTAAAAACGGAATAATTTTTAGCCTTCACATTTTTTTTGCGAGCCTTAATATGTACTTCCCTTAAGTTTGGAGCGTTTGTCCCTTTCCCTTTGATTAATTATTTGATGCTTAAATGTTTTTATATGTGCACATAGGACCCTAAAAGTACCTACACATATCCAACATTGTTGTCAGCATAGATAGAAGCCTCTTTTATCTTGCTTTTAAATAAATGTCAATACTTTCCTGCTATTTATTATGATCATTTTACTGTGTTTACTGACATCAAATAACAGCTCTAATGAATGTGCAGCCCAAGGCCAAACATCTCAAGTCAAACACTTGAACTGGCAAAAAAAGAATGTGAGACAACATACGTGTCTTCATGTAACACTTTAATGTTAAAGCAGTTTAAAATGTAGGGAAGTTCATTGAAAGTGTAACAGCTTTCGGTATGTGAACGAAAAGAGGAAGTCGCCATGCTTGATCTGGTGACCTGTGACTAGAGGATGATTTGATTAGTGGTGGGAAGCTCTAATACCGGGTGCGGCATACCCTGGGCACAGAGGATAGAGAGCGAAACACCCCGCTGTGCCTTACCCCCCACTCTGGGCCAGGAGCCCACATGCCCCTCTGGTGTGCTGCTGCTGACAGGGAGCCAGGCTGATTATGTGCTCATTACTCCAGCCGAGGAGAGAGAGGGAGAGTGGGAGGGGAGCAGCAGGCTGTCTCCCCAGGCCTGCAGGCTCCCCAGGCCCCAACACTGCACTAATGAGAGCAGGGGGAGCGGATGGGCACACACGGGGGGCCAGGGATTACTGCCCAGGGCCAAGAGGAGCCAGAGAGAAAGACCCGAGGAGAGGAGACACCAGCAGGGACTCCTGGAGCAGACCTGTACTCCTGCAGTCATTCTGCAAGCATGTGTTAAATCTGACATCGTTGTTTTGTTTCTATGATGGACTGGCATGGTTTGGAATATGTGTCAAGGCCTGCTTGTAGGCACATCTTATATTTTACATTCATGTCAACTATGCATAATGTTAGTGTACTGATAGCAGTGAGAGGCCTGCTCAGTCAAGTGCCTCCTCTGCAGATTAATAAATCATCCACTGGCGAGCCTCCACATGAAGACAATGTTGATATTGGGATTTTTTTTGTGAATGATATCATCTCTATCATTCCTACATATGCTGCCCTGCGGAGATCAATGCGCTCATTGTTGATGATTTGAAATTGCTGTGACATTTCTGCTAATTCTGGCAGCGCTGAACAAGATTACAGAATGTTAAATAGAAATCAGAGCGTTCGGCAGATTCCAAAGTCCAGGGAAAGACCATCCTGTCACTGTGCAGATTGGGTCCATAAGGCCCGTATGCTAATCGTAGCCTGCTCTGGCTTGAGATCCTCAATTATTCAACAGACAGGTTTGTTTAGCATTCAGTTGGTATTGCTTTTGGTAGTAATGGTGGTGGTGGGGTGGGAGGACTGGGAAGAAGGGAAGGAGCTTTTCTATGAACATATCGCACCCCACCATGCATACGCACACACATGCACATGCGCACACACACGTTCAGCACCCCAAAACCCCCATATAGACCCCGGTGTTCAGAGGGCTGCCTCTTCATGAATAATACATCAAAGGCGCTGCAGGGCCAGGTGATGCAGTATGGGGAACATGTCAGCCCATCAGTAGTGGCCGAGCTGGACCAGGCAGTAGAGGAGAGGAGAGGAGAGGAGAGGAGAGGAGAGGAGGAACTGTCTGAATCATGCGTGTCTTGTACTCATCTTCCACAACACACTGATTCACAGTCATTAACACTCTCCTGATAATGATGTCAAGGCTGCGTACATCCTTCTCTGAGGTCACTCGGAGTAATTTGTCCATAATGTCTGTTCTCTGTGTCATTACAGACTACACTGACTTGTACTGTTATTCTGGATTAGAAGGAGCTGTGACTCTATAATGAGGTAGAACTGACTAGGGTGCCCATCCCTCAGTTACTTATCAGATCACTGTGCACTCAGGGCTCAAATATGGGCTGATCTTCACTTGACAGGGACGCAAGAATTGCCCTCCTTGTTTCAATATCGTATTAGCGTCAAGAGTAATCAAGGCACAGAGGGACCTGGGTCCTGTCAGCGTGTCATATGTCACTTAGTCACAGAATTGTTTAAGTGAATTGAAGTGGGAAGGTCTAGAGCAGCATTCCAGAGATGCCTTTTGTCTCCCTGCATGTGTCCGGTGCAATCTTTAACTCTCAGGGCTATACGACACCTAAAGCAGAGATATTAACTGAAAATCTGCTGCCTTTTCTTTTTTTTTGCTCCCAAAGCGATACACATACTTGCTTTCGACCCATATTCTTTCAACAGACCTTTGACTGGGAGTCCAGAGAGATTCTCTCACTTTGCATTAGGCAGTGAACAACCGGGATTCATCACGAAATCAAAGGCTTTGGGAGGACTGAACTGAATACTGATCTAAGGTCTGCAGTCCTGCTGGGCCACTGCAGAGACAAGATCCTCTCCAGAAATGGAATAAGGAACCAGCGTTTTGATTTCAGTCAAACCCTGAAATGTACGCAGAATGAATCCTTGAAATTACAGCGTTTATTATCGGCAGAGTTACCAGAAAATAATGCTAATATATGTCAGTTTACAAATATTAATTAGATCTCAATTTGTCCATGTTTGTGCCCATGTATGCTTTGCTGATTTTGTTAAGCGTTCTCTCAATTTATTTAATGACCACTGGGGATATTCACTCCAGTAATATGATGCCGCTCTGCTCTGTATTATTTCAAGCTAGAATATTACTCCCGTTGACCCTTTCAGAGGCGATGACCAGACCAGCAAAGCACACGTTGTCTGTGATGAATGGCATAGTTTTTGGAGGGGTTGATTTTAAAGACATACGACACGCTCGGTCCCCTCTCACGTCCGCTTCCTGTTGGCGTTGACAAACAAGGCTTGGATTTCTCAGAATGCCAGGCATTCTTTTCACCCTGTCTTTCCTGGAGTTTTGAAAGGCCTCTGAGCCTCCCACCCAGAATCACCGAGCATAAAGACACACAAAGCTGTGGGGTTATTCAGTTTGTTCTAAGCTCTCTTCCCCATCGGCTGTTTGCCTAGTAATTCAATTCAGATGTGCAGGATCCAAAAACATGTTTGCTTGAATGAAATCCACCCCTCCACCCACATTGACCAAGGACTGTGCTTTTCTTAGCGCCGTTCCAAGTTGGACAGCCAGACGAGGTACTGCCACCTCGGCCTTTTTAGCTTCAAACCCTCTTATGAGACAGACATCTTTTTCTCTGCACCGGCTCAGCAACTTTTTGCTGTTTTTATTTCTTCCTCTAAATCTTCCTGTTAATATGTCCAAAAGACCAGTTTGGGTGTTTATACTTAACACCACTGCAGACCTGTTTGTAACAGGCACATCAATGTACAGAGCATGATTTCTGTCAGTCAATGTAGATACCATCTGGTTCCAGGTTGCCCTTTATCCGTGCTATCACGTAGATGTTGTTTATATTTGAAACACGGCTCATGTTCCTTGTGGTTTCCTTATTACACTTTGCTTGTGGATCATGAAACCAGACGTATGAAGCCCTCATGGGCTGCAGGAATATTACCTCCACACATAAAGCAAGTGAAAGAAGGCATTGATACACTAGTGTTTAGTTTTAAGTCATGATTGAGCCATTAGTCCAGTTTTTCAATTTCACAAAATCACATGTTTTGCTCTCAGAGTTCTGGAGAGCTTAATTCTCGTAGTTCTCGTAATTCTCATTTAAATGAGTTTAAAAATGATGCTGATTTTGATTTATTTCATTCAAAAATGATTTAAAGAGAGGAATTTCCTCGATGAAGCCATCTTTATTCCTCCTGGATAAAACCTGGCAGGTAGGATACAGGTTAGAAGAGTTTTGCATGTGTGCAACCTGCAGACTCCATTTTTCTCCACATTTTGTCGAGCCGCTGAACTGAAAGGCAGCCTGGAGTTGAAACTAGTGCCTTCAAACTTAGAAATATGTGTAGGGAGCACACGATTGGTGTATTCCAGGATATGAATAATTAATAGGCATCATTTCAAATTCTCACTGAAGTGCTTCCCAAAATGTGTTGGCACCCAGGTCTAGAGGTCTCAAACAGCCCTCACAATATAGGGAAAATTCAGGCATATTGTACATTAAGTAGAACAACAAAGCACAACTCAAATATACATGACATGTGGGACTTGGGATTTCAACCCAGCAGGTCAACACTATTTCTGCCATGAAGCTTCATCAAAGCCTTTTCTGTGCTGTGCGTATTCTCTGCGCATCACCATATGCATTGACCTTATATGCTCTAAGTCTGGCGAAACCTAAAAAAACGTCCTGAGCAAAGTGATCTTAATATAGCCATGTTTAACACCAGTAAATATTTTCCTCACTCCATCTGGCATTACCAGAATCAAAGCGTGCTTTAGACACGGGAGAAACCAATTTGCTAAAGATTTAAAAGGAGGAAAAGGTTGGACCTTCCTTTAAAAAGAAAAAAAAAAAGAGTGGCCAAAAAAAAAGCAAAGATTTGGAACAATTCTAAGCAGCGTGAAGCAAGAGAGTGTACAGAAGTCTCAATGCAAACCTTGTTCCCTTAGCAGACCACGTTGGAGAGAGACGAGAGGTTGAGAAGGGGGTGGGGAGGGATATTGAAGAAAGGTTAGCCTGGAGGAACAAGACTCCTTTCTCCCCCCTTCAAACCCCCCCTCCACCCCTTGACCCTCCCATGTGACAAGTTGAGCCAACAAGTGCTCTATTCAGCCAGGCAGCCAGGGGAAATGACTGCGAGGCTGAGCGCTGCCTAATGAAAGTAGAGACGCTGGTTATTATTATTGTCTTCATCATCCTAGTCGTAGCCATGATGCCAGTCAGATCTCAACTGGGGTCTGTGGGTAAAGCGTCGTTGAATGTAAAAGGAAGTTTCTTCTTTCTCTTCCTCACCACTTAACTTAAATGGACAGTTCATCCCAAAATCAACAATACCTATTTTTCCGCTCACCTGCAGTGCTATTTATTAATCCAGATTGTTACCACATTTGCAGATATTGGCTGTAGAGATGTCTGCATTGTCTCGAATATAATAGAACTAGATGGCACTCTGCCAACCGCGTCACAGCACAAAAGAAAGTGTGCATCTACTGCTAGCTCTCCTAGCAACACTGAGCTAGCTGATCTCAGCTCAGCCGAGGGGGACGGCATTAATGTTTACATGTTGTGCTGTCACGAGCAAGACCCTCTCTTCCATGAGTAGATGCACACTTCCTTCTGCACGTTGATACTGTTGGCAGGTGTAGTTCAGTTGAAAGAAAATAGTTCCTTCATGAAACTTTCTCACAACAAGGTCTGTGGGTTATTTTGAGGAACTGGTCATGATTTCTGGAAAGAGACATTGCTGGTGAGTTTTGGAAATTTATGTTTTTGAGCACCACAAGCTGAGTGACATCTAGTTCCAGTATATTCAAGAGGAGGCGGACAAAACAGTCTAGATTGATAAATAGCACTACAGGCAAGAGGAAAAATATGTATTTTATGTTTTCGGGTGAACTGTCCCTTTAAGTTATACAGAAGTTCAAGTGTTGTTCTAACATTAGGGTCATATGCAGTATAATGTGGCAGTGTAATCCACCCATGGGTGTCTGCTTCTTCCCATCAAGTGACTGTCGTCAGACAGAGTGGGAGCTGATGTCTCCACTTGTTTATGGGTATTCAGTTTACCTTAGCGTGATTGTGTTTGTTTGTGGCTCACTTGGTGTGACTTTTGGACTCGGTGGCACCGTTGTTTTTTTTTGTTGGACTGAACAAACAGTTCTCTCCTCAGCTAAATGACCTTTGGCATGTGTCTGCAAAGCTTTTTAGTGTTCCTTGGTGCCGGTCCAGATTGCATCACAGGGCCGGTCACGTGTGCAGGCTGATGTGATGTTTACCGTAGAGGGCATTCACACATGATGGCGTGTTTACTCCAGTCCTTTTTCTTTTGAACAATGTGAAACGGAAAGCAAGCGTGGTGTACACTTTGGGAGAGTTATAAACTTGTCTCAGCCACAGACATTAAAGCTTTGATGGATGACTCTCACTGTGTTTTGAATGTTACTTGTCAGACACTTGTTGCACATTGGTCTCCTCCTGCTCATAACTTATTTGTGTATGTGTTCTTCTCTTTTTTTCTTCATCAACAGTCCAATAAAGTCCCAGTGGTGCAGCACGCCCACCATGTTCACCCACTGACGCCCCTCATCACCTACAGCAATGAACACTTCTCCCCCGGCACGCCACCATCACACCTCTCCCCAGAGATCCTCGATCCAAAGACAGGTAATGGTCACTGGCTCGTTTCATTGTAGATCTTAAAGTGATATTCCTCATATTATCTGTCTGTAATCTTTACAAGTGGCTGTAAAAAATTCTAGTTTAGTCAGTAAATTTATGTCAATTTTTTTTTTTAACTTTATTTACACAATGGAACTTAAAACAGGTTTAGGTAGTGCAGAGAACATTATAAATAAAAAAGTACATAAGAAATAAAAATAGCAAGTAAACACAAATAAAATAAAAATAAATTACAAACAAAAATTAAGGAAGACATGAACAAAGTAAGGTTGGGTTTCTGTTTTGCAAATTTGCTAGTGTGTTATTAAGAAAATATTATTGATAACAGGCTTTAAATCAGCAAATAATTAATTAATTAAATTTCAAGTTTGAGTTGAGTATCTAATATTCTGTTTATGAAAGGTTAAGGTCGTACTGAAAGTCTGACTAGAGGTACAATCCCAAAAAAGATGAGTTGTCGTCTCATCTGTGTGGTGACAGAAGGAGCAAAGAGGTTCAGCATTTTGCAGTAACTGAATTAACAGGTCAACAACCGTGCAAAATTCCTGCCAGTTACACAATGAATTCCAGTCGTGACCACCTGTCATAAGAGGGAAAGAAGTACTGAAACATCCATAGAAACCAGGAAGCATGCATGCTAATGTGCACAAACGAACGCACGCTAATGAGCATGACAGGGTCATGAAGTTTGAAAAGGAAACGGTGTGTTTAAACACATTTTGGAAAAACTGTTTCAGTTTGGAACGTCCTGAGCAGGTTTCTATGAACATTTTGTTACTTTTTTCCACCTTGAGAAGCGGACACTATTGGGATCGCCAAAGTGAATTCAGCTGCTGTACTCAGATTCTGGGTGGAGTATTGAGAGTATGGCGGAGATGATAGCAATATTTTCAAAGATGTTAAATGCTGTTTTTATGCACTGGTTTTTAAAAGCTGGCTTCTTCCGTCTGTGGCACCTGCAGGTATTCCTCGGACACCTCACCCGTCGGAGCTCTCTCCATACTATCCCCTGTCTCCTGGCGCTGTTGGTTCCATCGCACACCCTCTGGGCTGGCTCATGCCACAGTAAGTCACTTTGATTTTTTTGCCGTCCACTCGGCCAGACACATTTTCTTCATAGATACAAACCACAGCACAGATAAAGTACTGACGTCAGCGAATCCACAGTGTGGCTAACAACTTGTGCTGAGTTAAGATTTAGGAAGGCACACCAAACTGTTTGATAAAGTTCAAGTCAAGAAGAAAAAAGGTGAACACAGGGACATTTTTTTCTGTTTTTTATCCCCTCCTGTTTAAGTGCGTGTGTGTGTGTTCACCTGCGCCATATCAGAACAATAATAAATTTAAACATTTGAGTTCACAGGAGGAATTTATGAACATTCATGGGTTTTGCTACGGCTCTCATAATCAATTGCAACGGTGCTGTTCCACAAGCAGGGGATTTGAGTTGATGAGTAGAGGATTAGTGCTGGTGGGTTAGCTGTCAGCTGTGTTTGATCCACCTCACACTGGAGCTTTCGCTCACTCTGTCTCCCTCTGTCTCCTCTGTCTCTCAGGCAGGGCCAGCCCATGTACTCCATCCCTCCGGGGGGATTCCGTCACCCTTATCCAGCGCTAGCAATGAATGCATCCATGTCCAGGTGAGCGGATCGTGTTCAGCAACACCCCCACCCTCCCAAAGGGAGACATCTAATATCTGCTGCTTATATGACATGCTGTAATCACATTTCTCAGGCTTTCTATGCCAGCCTTTTTACACACTAGGTCAAAGAAATGGCTGATGTGCACTTTTAAACATCCATTGTTTGCATTGTTAAACTGTTTTGGCAACATTCTACAAAAATAGCATGAATCTTATTTTGCATAACACACTTTCCGTTTGTGACAAACATTGTCAGATCATGCACAGGCTGCGGTGTCAGGACTACAAAGGGATGTGAGGTCTAAGTCTCTCACAGACAAGTTCAGCTTCTTAAATAGTGTGAAGGCATTATTGGCATTCAGCACTCTCCTTCTGTCTTTTCTCTCAGAGCTAAACTTCTGTGGTCAGGCCAATGTTCTGAGCCACTCCACAACACACACACACACCGCAGAGATGAAAGGGCTGGGAATCGATAACGACAAATCAAAGCTCATCTGAACCTACGCGTCCAATCAGACTAAACTCTCCGACCCTCTTTCAAAATTGGAAAGATTTGTAGCGAGCCTTCCGGTGTTAGTATGAGATGAAAAATTCAGAAGGGTCTCTGTGATCAATAGGATGTGTAATGCCAAGCTGAGATGGACTCACAACAATTGCAAACATACCTCGCAAGTTTTTTTTCACACTATATAATGCATCGGATTTAGGGCATGCCAAATACTGCGCCAAAATTTCAAATTAAGAATAAAATCTTATGGCAACAGCATACTTTAGGTAGCATAAACATGACTGCATTACACGAATGGGAGCATTATTTTCAAAATGTGGAGCTTGTCTGCATGCCATCAGCTGTGAGCAGCGCTGAGTTATTCATCAGGGACTGAGTGGGATGTTTACAGAGTAAGTCGGTATAGGTTTATTACCGAGGGAATGACAGGCACCTCCTTGTTTATACAGCATGAATTATTAAGTGGTTCAAAAAAAAAGGAAAAAAGCAAAATATTAGCTCTTAATAACAGATATTTTATTAGACTCCATGTATTTATGACTTTTTTTTCTTAGGGTTGGATTCTAAATTCAGTCAGATAGTAGATATCAAACATGGAGTCAAAACAAGCTTTTAACTATCGTGCTGTGTGAGCATTTTTAACCTGGACTCTAATGCTGTTGTGTTTGTCACAGGATTGAGCAATATGGCAAAAATCAAATATCACAATATTATTGATATTGCAACAATGTTGTAGGGTTGACTAGTGGTACATTCACAAAATATTTATGTGGGTAAAGGCAAATAATAGAACAGCTAAAACAGACTGGTAAGCTCAGAAATAATGTCACCTTACTTTAATTCAGCCTTTAAAACTAGGGAAGACAAATTTTAATGCTATTATGTTTTCCAAAATCTAAGATGATATCTTGTGTTGTATCATGCAGGGCTGGGTGATATGGCCTTTATTGAATTCCTCCTTAAAAGACTGCAGATTACTAAATTACTAAACTAATAAATGAACTACTGTTACAATAAAGTTAAATAAAGTACTGTTATAATGAAGTTTAATAAATAAAAAAAAGTTCAAGTATTGTTCCAGGGAAATAAATTCAAATTTAACCACTGGTGCTTTCATTTTGAAGCACCCGGCTTGTCTCCGTTGATATGTTTGCTGTGAATTTGAAGCTTCCAGTCAGCAGCTAGATGTTAGCCTGTAGCAGAGAGTTAAACTGTCACGATGGCGCAGTTAAACGTGAGGATTTATTCACTGTGTGCCGGACACAAACTAACAGCTCTCCAGTTCATTTATTAATAATATTTGCAAGTTGTACTGGTGCTGGTTAGTTGCAAACTGTGAGTAAATGGTGGCGATGTGAAGCCCTGCACATACAAAAGCACATACTCTGCCTGCTCAGCCACTGTCGCCCAGGAACCAGAGGTCTGGATGGGTGTGTGAAGCATCATGTTTGTGCTGGTAGCTTAAAAATAATAATGTAGCAATTTAAAGTCGATGTTTGCAATGTAGTCATTTTTATACGTCCAGGTGGAACAAGCCATGAAACATCAAGTATAATTGATATGTTGCACACCCCTAATGTCATGATATCTATATAATGTAGACATATATTGCCCGGCCCCTGTTTGACTGTTAGTAATGCCTTTATATATTTTAAGTTAGCTCCGGGTTTGTCCATACTACATATATCATGAGGTAGAGCTGTGACATGTTAAAATAGAGGAATTTTCCAACATTAACTAGGGCGTGTGTGTGATAGAGAGAGAGTTTAATTTCCCCCCTTGTTCATTACAATGCTCCATTGTATTAACAATTGGAAATAAAGAGAGACACTTTGTAAAGGTGTTCTGTGTGGACGGCTGTCAGAACGCTCTCTGGAACGTGGTAAGGAAAGTGGTTTCAGGTGTCACGGCCATGCTGTCGCCATGGTAACAACACACTCCACTTTTCTCCAGCCACTGCTGAATAAAGGGGCTTTTGAAAAAGTCTTTATTTGAACAAAAAGCAAGCATGTAACTCATTGTGTGTATGATTTTAGTCTAGACGGACACAGTAGGCACAGTGAATTTAACCCAGAGGGTAAGGCAGGGCAGTTGTGTGCCAAGTTAGCTGAACCTTTTCTCGTCAGGTTCACAGAGGTTCCCTGTTAAACCCGACTGTTAAAACATTCCCTCCTGTTGCTCTCGCAGCTTGGTGTCCAGCCGCTTCTCCCCTCACATGGTGACTCCGCCACCGCACAGCCTCCACCAGACCGGCATACCGCACCCTGCCATCGTCTCCCCGGCTATCAAACAGGAGCCCAGTGGTGACATGAGTCCCTCGATGCATGCGTAAGAATGTCTTATAATTGTATCAAAACCTGCTTTCATTGCCGCACAATATTTCCCTTTGTTAGCTTTAATTCACCGTCACCTCGCCACCATTCACGGTTTCTAAATGGCATATTTTTAATGTTTTGGATTAGCAGGAAATCCCCCGTTCCTCCCAAGAAAGAAGAGGACAAGAGGCCTCATATCAAGAAACCTCTGAATGCTTTCATGCTGTATATGAAGGAGATGAGAGCCAAAGTAGTGGCAGAATGCACTCTGAAAGAGAGCGCTGCCATCAACCAGATCCTTGGAAGACGGGTAAGTAGCACAGTCACTGATGTGCATGTGAGTTTATGACCGTGATATATGTGTGCGTGTTTAGCAGTCCTTTGATATCTTCTGTCTTCGTCCACAGTGGCATTCCCTGTCAAGAGAGGAACAAGCCAAATACTATGAGCTGGCCAGAAAAGAGAGGCAACTCCACTCCCAGCTCTATCCAGGGTGGTCAGCACGAGACAACTATGTGAGTAGCACATTTCCATGATCATCTCTTATGTTATATATGAGAAGAGGAAGTTTGTTTTTTCTCACCAGGCTGAGTCAAATATGAGTGTGTCAGTTAATTATAGTAATTGAACTTTAAAACCGAAGCAGTTGAGGTGGTTTGCTTTCACTATGAGAATTAACAGCATTGTCTTATCTGTGCAGGGGAAGCGGAAAAAGAGGAAGAGAGACAATAAACCCGACTCAAAACCAGAAGGTAAGGGGCCTTTTCTTCCTGTCTGTATTTTAGATTTTTTTTCTCCACAAACTGAAGTAAGGGAGAAGAAGCGTAGGAACTAACGGGTAGGACTTGAATTTTCTTGCAAAGCTGAAGTGCAAACTGCGATGCTGCACCTTTATTCAGTTATTTCTGCATGGATTCTTTTCCTCACTAACACTGACTAACTTCTTTCCCTGCTTCTATGCTTTGACAAGCAGCTTATGAGGTTCAGTGCTAATAGTGGCAGGTATGTGTGCTGTTGTGCAACCAAGTGACCACTGTAATTTGCCCAAAATAAGAGCACTTTCCACACTTCAGTCCACATTTACATCGTGTCACGTTCCTTTTTTTATTGCAAATGCATACCATCTGAACATGTTAAACATCACGTTTCACTCTCCCTGTTGGAATGCGTTTTCAAGTTGATTTCTTTCACAGTTTTCACCGCCATCATCTTCACTGCTTTGATAATCACTCGTTCGCTTCTGTCACGGCAGCATTGAGGGACGTGAACCAGATTTGAAGCCAGCAGCAGATCCATAATTCAGCTTTCTCACGTCTCTTTGTTTTCCCCAGACTTCTCGATAAGAAGCAAGAAGCAGTGCGTGCAGTACCTGCCCTCGGAGAAGATGTGTGACAGCCCGGCGTCGTCACATGGCAGCATGCTGGACTCGCCGGCCACTCCCTCTGCAGCCTTGGCCTCCCCGGCTGCTCCCGCCGCCACTCACTCCGAGCAGGCCCAGCCGTTATCGCTCACCACCAAACCGGAGGGACGCGTGCACCACCACTTCTCCCTAGCCGGGAAGGCTTCTGGATCCACATCTTCTTCCTCCTCCTCCTCCTCCTCCTCCTCCTCCTCCTCCTCCTCCTCTTCCTCCTCCTCCTCCCACACCCACCTCTCCATCCCAATTGGTACTTCAGGTAGCCAGTCGACCACACCCATCCTCACCCGGCCAATCCCCTTCACCTCCCTGCACCCTTCCATGCTCTCCCCACCTTCCCCTTTCCATCAGGCAGCCCTTCACTCCCATCATGCCCTCTTCCAGTCGCAGCCCCTCTCTCTGGTCACCAAACCAACTGAATGAATCCGCAAAGGCAATTCTCTCCCATTTATTGTGCTGTATATTGCTTTTCCTTAAAATAGGTATTAGAACTGCTTTTTTTCTAAATAATGAAAAGGAAGAAATATTATTGGTCAATATTTGACTGCCTCCTTTTCTACATCTCTCAATGAAAACAAAATGTATTTTTTGTAAAATTTACTGCAGAACTGGTTTCTTTTTGATGCATTTATCCAATGAACCTCTTGTATAAAAGAACCAATGTACATAAAGTTTCTTTATAAAAACAAAAAGGAACAAAAACATGTTTTCTTTTTAGCCAAAACCTGATTAATGTTAGTATTAAGTTTAAGTCATAGTACTGGCCAATAATTGCCGCCCCCCTTTTGAATTCACGAGTGTGTGCCCCTTCTTTGACATGTTAAATAAACATTTGAAATTGTTTCTTAAAAGAAATGCCTCTTTTTGTCTTTTCACGTTCCACCAGTCGATGCTTTTGCCTTTTAATAAAGAGAGGTTTCTTAACAAGGTAATGTGGTTTGGGTTAATATTCTCACACTAGTGACCACAGAGCATAACAAGTAGATAACTGCCTTTTGTACGTGTTACAAATGTAGATTTAATGAGCACTATAATTTTATCACAGCCACACTGAAATAGAAGAAAAGTATGTAACACACCTGTGTTTTTTTGCCTTGTGTTCTGCTTTAGTTCTAAACAGGGAGCATCTTTGTAAAAACCTTGCTGATGGTGGCTGCGAGTTTTAATGTTTAATAAAGCAGAATTAGGCTAACCACACTGGATAATAAGCGCTTGAACCAGGGTAACAAAATTTGAAGCCCAAAATAAATACAAATAAAAAAAATAATAGACATCTGCTCTGTCTCGGAATATAGCGTCCCACAACAATGACAAAAAAGCAGGTCAGCCCCATCCCAGCACACCGAACCCTGCTCAGGCTCCCTGTTCCTCTTGCACTTTTACTGCATCTTTATTCACCGTTTGGCACACTGCTTAGGCTTTAATTAACTCAGAGGTAATGGGATGGAGCCCCTGGGACCTCATTAGGCATTTCAATTAGTGAAAAATACACAAGGTAGGTTACAGTTTTTGGTGGCTTTGGAGATGAGGAGTTGTGCCAGGGATGGACCAATTATGTCGGAGCAGGGGGGACTGGCCTGGACGAGCCCACTGATGCCCACCCCCATCACCTACTGACTTGGAGACTTATCCAAGATCTTACCCACGGGGAGAACTGGGAAATGTTACTTTTTTTTTTTTTTAGAGTATTTGAGCTGATTGGAATATTCAGTGTGTGCATTTTACCAATAAAGATTAGTTTCCAGATATTAGACAGCACCATCAGGCACACTGGAAACAACAGGGCAGTCTGAATTAATTGATTGTAAGCTTAGATTCAACAATAATGATCTTAACACTGCCAGAAAGATCCAGGAGCAGATATATATTTGTCACCAGTTTACTGTTAATCGTCTTAACTCTGTTTCAAATAGGCTTCTAAATCTATAGATAGGTGGACTGAGAATGTGTCTCTGTTTCTGGCAGAGGCACCAAACTGTCAAGTCCCCCTCGCTCCGTTTTTAATCAATCATTAGCCATAATAAATCTTTGCTTATGTGGCGTTCTATCTTACATCATTCCGGGCACAAACCACACAGTCTCTGGTTCCACGGCTGCCTTCTCGGAGCCACTTCACCAATCCGTCAGTGAAATTACAGGTAATGAGTTGTCAAAACAGCCGGCAAATCTGTCTCCTCAAGGCCATACATCCAGTGCAATGTTCAATTCTCCTAAGACAGTACCCTTATTATGAAACTCAGCCCCCAAGTGAATGACTTCAAATGTGCTGGTTATACTCGGTAGTTCCTTTATTAAAGACATTCCCCTGCCTGCGCCTGCCTTATTTTTATTTTTTATTTCTTTTAATCTCATATGAGTTTTATCATATTGAAGGAAATCCCATGATATCTAGTGAAACATGATTATTAAAGCATCATTTGATCGATGAAATTTAGTACATAACACAGGAGTGAATAGGATTCTAAGTGCAGGCATTTTTCTCAGCTTTAAATGAAATATCTTTTTGAAATGGAATAAAAAAAAAAAAGGTTGTTATCTGAAAGTTCCCATGCTCCTCTCAAAATGTAACACGCCACTGTTTATCTCTAATAACGTATCTGGTTGCTGCTCCACTCAACATCTGCCATGTAAGCACGAGGTCAGATTTAATACATGTTAATTTTTGCTCATTAAATTCTTCCAATCTCTTGCCAAGGTTCTTTTTTGGGCCTTCCTTTTATCTTGAATTAATTCCAGGTTAACCCTTTGATAGTTCACATGCCTAATATTGCACCAGGAACCGTCATTTGATAAGTCACTAAAAATATTTTTTTAAAAAGGAGCAACACTTTCCCAACAGCACAATTTAGTCTGAATGCACACAACAAGGCTAAAAAATTAATACCACTGTGATTAACAAGTCGACTCCATGAAACTGATGAGATCCTACAGCATATCTGCTATTGACTCATGACCTTATATTCCCATTAATAACAGGATGCTGTATTTGCTTCACATGTGGTTTCCCAAAGTGATATTAATTGATTGTTTCTTTAGCATTCACCGAGCTCAGCAACACTCAGCTGGTGCCTTTGTGCAGAAAGGTATAGCTGGCTGTGAGCTTAAGAACCTCCTTAATGTATTATTCATACCCATTTGACCTTAAAGATGGAAATGCAAATAGGTGTCAAGAATGAGAGGGATCATCGGACTTTTCAAATGTCAAATAGCTTGCTACAATTAAGACATATTCATTACAAGAGCCCACAGGTCCCCCACACCCTGCTGAGATGTTAAACACCTCCAGTTAACATTTTGATGATTATCTCATGTCTAAAGCGACTACTCACCTTCAACTGTTGTCCCTATAATATTGTTAATACTACTTGTGGTGCTCGACTGTAAACTTTAGTGACTTTATGTTTTTTTTTTTTTTTACTTAAACAGAATTTTAATCTCTATAACTAATATTTTTATACATATAAAAGTTATTATTTGACCATATAATGGGTTAATAGTGTTTTGCAAACCCCTATAATTACATGCATGTAAAGTAATCTGGTGTCATGAGCTTTTTTTTTATTTGCACTGTATATCAATACTGCCATCTGCTGATAAGGTCAAATACTGACGCAGCCACCTCATGTGGAGTAAATACCCCATCATGTCAGCGCCTAACCTGTGGGTGGCAGTACTAAATATATTACTAAATATTATCTCCTCCACTCCTCTTGTGGTGGATCTTTAGAAAAAAATATATTTATAATCATTGGTGGAGTAAGTACTCAGACCTTTTATTCCAACAAAAACAAAACAAATGAAAGTAATGAGAGAAATACTCTGTTACAAGTAAAAGTTCTGCAATCAAAAGTTTTCTCAAGCAAAAGTACAAAAGTAAGAGCATTACAATCTACTTTAAGCACCAATAGTAAAAGTACTCATTAGGCAGAACGGCCCATTTCAGAATAATGTCATATTATTATTGGATTAATTATTGAGTGTTGATGCAATTAACATTTATATCACATGAAAATAACGTGCAGCTGGCAAAGTTGGGACTCATTTAAGTTATTTTACATGTTGCCAGGTAGCTTAATCAATAATTATACATCATAATTTATTTGTATTTTGTATTAACAATCTAATCCGCAAAATAACTACAATAACTAAAGTTATCAAATGAATGTAGTGAGTGAAGAGTATACAATATCTCCTTCTGAATTGTAGTGAAGTAGAAGTAAAGAGTGGCATAAAATGAAATACTTAAGCAAAGTACAAGTACCTCAAAATTGTAGTTAAGTACAGTACTTGAGTAAATGTACTTAGATACAAGTTTTATTTCTCTAGTAGAGCTCTCTCTACCTTTACAAGTTCAGGTCAGTTGAGTACAGTGGGGTGTGAGCACAATAGTAGGATGTCAGCCTCACACACAGCAGCATCTGTGTTTGAATCCGGCCTAAATATTTAGTCTCCTTTTGCTTCCACATGTGCTATTCAAATACATGTAAATAATGCAGCTGTGAAAGTCAGGTCCCATCCTCCCACTGAATGCCAAGAGTCACAAAGAGCTCTGCAAACATGCATTGTTTTATTCTGTGAAATGTATATACAGAGATATGCCCAGGTATATGTGAAGGAAATGTGCAAAGAAGGGCAGGAGGAGCTTTACATCCTCCAGTTTGAGCAGGTGTCATAAACACTAGGCAGCATTTTGTGGACACGTGGATGGCAGATATATTTCGTGTGTGTATGTGTGTGTGTGTGTGTGTGTGTGTGTCTGTACGGCTGGTTGAAATCACTTCAACGAATGGCCATAGGGCATGAAAAAGTGAAACTGTAATTGCAACTTTTCAACCCAATGATTATCATAACCGCAGCCCTACAATATGTTATGCTGTAGCATGTCTAGTACTTTTTTTTCTCATGGCAACATCTGAGGGTTGACGTAATGTAATCTGATAGGTTGATTCTAGTCAGATGATTTCTTGTTGCTAAACTGGTGGATCCAGATTTTCAGGGTCAGAGATTTCACATTGTTACACTTGATAAGAGCGATCGTTGGTTTCTCCCAGGTTACAGTGTGAGAGCTGCTCAACCAAACAGTTGAATTTTAACATATCATGTTGTGATAAATGACATTAAATGTTGGCAATTGAGTCTAATTGACACTTGAAAAATGTCACTTGCATTCAGTGGCGCCCTCAGAAATCTGTCATAGGGGTGGCCACATGGGGCTTCTCAAAATCTTGAGTTGGCACACCAAAACAAAAAGCCATAACTGAATTTCAGGAATTCCATTATGCTGTTGAAGTATTTCTTTGGTTTCTTGATTTACAGATAGTCTTAGGCTACTAACTGTCTGATTAGTATCTAATCTGATGTTCATACACTAATACCAGTACAGTTAACATTTGGTTCTTTATTAATTTATGTATGAACATGTTAGGTGATTCATTGCTCTTAAAACAGTCTGATGGTCCTTTTCTTAAAAAAAGACACATGCAGCTTTAATTTAAAGAAGCCAATTGATTGTAGGGAACAAAACATTTACTAAGAACAAGCCCACTCAAGTTTAGCTGAGACCCATGGGTACCCAGAGAGCCCATTTCCTCCTAGATATCTTGAGGAGCAAGTTCAAGGGATGCCTTTGAGAAGGGCCGTGTCAGTTGTTCCCTGACCAAACTTCAGACTAAGTTTGGAGCATTTTATACTCCTTTCCCATCAAGCTGGTAACAGTGAAAGCCTTAGGTTGTCTTGTTTGACAAGAAACCATTACCTTCGTGCTAGCTGAAAACATTGAGTATATCACAGCCCCTTAAAGACATTTATGTTAGCCTCCATGTATTTTGGGTGGAGGGCAGCAGTTGCATCAGGGGGGCCATGCCCTTCCCTTGGGGCCACCACTGCTTACATTTG